CCCCAAAACCCCAAAACCCCAAAACCCCAAAACCCCAATTTTAAATAAAATCGTTGAAATTACTTTATATTAAACACAAGGTTAAATATGGCATTTCGGTGGGTAGTCTGTTCAGATGGTCTTTCACAGGACCTTGAAGCAGAGAGGTTGAAGACCATGCTTTGTTGCCTGAGTTTCTTAATATTCTCCTTTATCTTACCCATCTGCTCGAAATTAATGGCTTGGTGCCTCTTACTAAGCGGGTCTTCTCTTGTTCCAAAGGTCATCTCTCTGAACTTGTTGAAGATAGGTGTTGCTCTATTGGTCTCAGGTACTTCAGACTGAGAATCAGAGTTGTATTCAGTTTCATTCCAGACATCTGAGTTGTTCGGCTGTAAGCACACTGGCTTTAAGACAGAGAGATTTTGTTTCTTGAGAGAAGGACCTATTTTTGAAGTTTTAGTCCGCGAAATCTTTATTGGAATTGTTGTATCAGTTCTCATCATACTATATTTTTGACTAGAGTCAGCATGGGATCTTGAGGGAGAGGCTGACTGACTCCCATAGATAATTTTCGCTCTCTCATTATAATTAAACGCATTTTTAGCTCTTGGAAGTTTAGAAAATCTGGATTTCTTCCCTGTTCCACTGATTAAGAGATTTCTTGGAAGATTAAAGCTAGGCAGCTCATCAATCTGTCATTCATCTTCAATAAGTAAGCTCTCTTCGTTCAGCTTCGAGAGCTGTGCGATATCATTAGTGAAAGGTTTTCTGGTTCTAGAGTACTCTTTTACATCAGTCTCAAAGTTTGTTTTCCAGGAAATAAAATTCTGGATGAGCTCCTCCTGACTAAGATCGTACTCATCCCTATACTTGCTTGTCTCTGTGATTAGTGGTGATATCGAAGAGATATGACGATGATGCTTCTTGGCAGTAGTTTGTTTCTTAGCAGAGAAAAGCTCATTCAGTTCTTTTCCTGACCTCTGGCAATTCCCTTCGTGGAGGTTTCCTAAAATATCTCCAAAATCTTACTCCTGTTCTTGGGTGTGAACTCTATGGAATCTATAGAAATCTCTTGGGCTTGTTGAGGCTTCTCGAACTCTTTAGTCCTCTGGACAATGTATATTCCCTATAAACTTGGTAAGTTGCCAGAATGGGAGGATGTACCTTATCATGATTTCTGTTGGGATCCATATTTTCTTCACAGTAAAGATCAACATCTTTTTGGAAGACTCTAGTCTTTGGCTGGCTTTTATAGACCTCCTAGAGGATTTTAGGCATTGGTTAAATGAGAAAAGTGTTATAGTTGATTGGTTGTGAAAGAAATGAAGCGGTTGTTATTACCTCAGATTCAGTGAGTATTGGACTTTTGTGTGAGCGATCTTGATTTTCTTTTGAGTTAGAGTTTGCTAAGATTTTTCGTTTTTCCGCTGGGGAGAGGAACTTGTTAGGAGTTGTTGAATTAGGAAGTTTATGTTGTTGTGATAAAGAGTGCTGATGGAGGACGCCAGTTGCACATCCTTTAGGCCTATATAAACGTTCAAAACCCAAAAAATACCAAATTAATATTCATTACCTCTTTCCACCAGTTCCGGGCTGCCTTTGCCTCTCTAAAATTCTACCTCCTTCCAAATTCCTAACCCTTCAGTTCTATCAACTACTTGTCCATGATCAATGCCTTGTTTTGGCCTAAATTTCATGAGTGGTTGTTCATGAAAATGTATCCACAAGCAGCATATCGAATTTTAATGTAAAGAATACAGAGACTTAAAACATTATTTGGCTTAATATACTTACAAATTATGCGTCCTGTAGGACATACAGTCTGGTCCACGAATAAAGTTCTTGGAGCCCGGAGCATTTCTAGGGGTATTTAGACAGAGCAAGGAATGTGAATAGACAAAGTGAATAGTCCTTTACTTGAGAAAAGAAATATTTTGATTTTTAGGGATGAAATTGGGTAAAAATTTAGTGTAAATTTAAAGTAGCCCATTCGGCTTTTCCTCTAAAGTTCAAAAATACAAAATAATTTAACAGTTGACTTAGAACAATTACAACAGATTCAGGGTCAAGCAGAACTTACTTCAAATCTGGTTTGAACCTGCCTTGAGTGTCAAAAAGAAGACTATTCAGATTCTTATCTTGCACCTAAAGAATTTATGAGAAAAATATACAGGGTGGTTGTTTTCAGGTACTGTATCACTTCCACTTTCAGACATATTGTAAAGAGATTTGGAATCTGCCTCTTTCAAGTGATTATTTTCTCGAACCGTTTGTCTAAATTAGCAATTTATGATGCCTCCTTATAGCTCATTTTGTGTAAATAATAGTCTTGATCATAAGAATATAGAATATTGTAAGCTTCATGAAGCCACAAATCTGATCATTCATGATTTCTATTCTTGAAGTAAGAGTTTTTGTTATTATTCTACACATAAAAGGTGAAGATGGCACCAAGCTATTCTTTGGCTCATCAAGCCACTTACTTAAAGTATCTTTCTAAAGCTGATGTAGGAATATTAACAAATTTAGAGAAAAACAGATGAAAAGATGCATATCGAATTATGAGAAAATTCATTGATCTTAGAAAATAAGCCTCAGAATTTAGAAAAGCAGAATCTATGGATATAAATAGGCCATTAAGAAAAGGCTAAGAGAAGCTTCTAGGCCTAAAACTGGCTCTGGTCCTTTCTCTAGACTTGACTGAAATCTCTCGGTTTAGTACTTTTAGTTGAGATATTTTGTGATAGAGAAGTACTAAGTATTAATAGCTTATTATTAAGATTCTTAAGCCTGGACCACTATCAGAGAAGCGTCTATATTTACCACCTTGACTCAGAAATCATCATTCGAGCATTATATGAATCCAGGATCCGTGGAGTGAATTAACTTACCTCGACCTATTGCAGTCAGAATCATCATAAAGCATAGCTGATAGCTCTTCTTGACTAAAAGGATTCTCCATCTATAGGGTTTTTATAAAAATTACGATTGCCATAGGATCATTTACTGTGGTTTCTTGGGAATATTTCACAGGGTTTCTAGTGGTTGAAGGATAATTCATTTTTCCCACACAAAAATTTAAATTATATTTCCGCAAACAAAAATAATCTGGGGTTTTGGGGTTTTGGGGTTTTGGGGTTTTGGGGTTTTGGGGTTTTGGGG